CTCCTCCTCCTCCTCCGCCTCCTCTCCCCCGCCCCCTGCATCGCCACGGGTCCCCCGCCGGCTTGCTCACCTCCAGCCGCGCCGCCCTGTCCGCCGGACGCCCGGGCGGCATCTGCTCGCACCGCGCTGGGGGCGCTGGGCAAGGGAGGAGGGGCGCTTGCACGTCGGGGACCCCGGGAGCTTGACCGAGCCGAGCCCCCGGGGAGAAGCGGCCAGACTCCCGGCCACGGGACCTCCCTCAGGACGGCGCTCCAGAGCGAGCGGGGCGGGTGCTGCTGCTGCCGCTGCTGCCGCTGCTGCTTCTGCTGGGCGGAGGACGAGTTAGGCTGCGGAGCGAAGGACAGGAGCGTTCCTAGAGGCTTCGCGAAGGATGAAGGGGACCCGCTGAGGTCATGGAGACAAGTCTTGTTTCTAAATTCTACCCCAAAAGCTGAATCAGGGGCGCCATGCCTCAGTTTCCCCATCTGTAAGGGCAAGACAGTAACACGTAGGTCACACACACACACACACACACACAGGGTGGGGGTCAAGATGAAAAAAAAATGTATTCTTAAAATCGCACTTGGCTCAGAGAGGACACTCAAAACTCAGTTTTGCTATGTAGATGTGTGGCGCTTTCCATGTGTTTCTTCTGTGGCATCTTCTGTGAGTCAGTCTCGTTTTAGAAAAAAAAATAAATGTGTAATGCTGAAATATAAGACTATACCCCTATGGTACTTACATGGTGCCTATATAGACATGGGAAAGAGCTATTTGGTTCCTAGATTAACTATATTAATACAGGAAGTAAAACAATACTTCCTCACCCCGAGAAACGGATATGCATACTTTTTGAATGTCTGTGTTGAGTATTATGTATCTCCTCAACTCTCCTTTTCTAGTAACAGGGGTTCCTATTGGTCCCTCACCCACAATGAGTCTCTGGTTCCTTGGATACTGGCAGACCCCTGGGCAGGCCAGCCATCATCCTCTAGAACGCAATGTTTGGCTGTGGGGTGGACATATGAGTTCAAAAATTCAGTGTGAAGCTTTCCTCGGGTCTGTTCAGAAAATGTAAAGCTATTAAAACTAGTCTCACTAAAGCTGGAAGACCTAAGCCAGGCGGCAAGGACCGCTAGAGTTAGCCAAGAAGCCAACCAAGGTAGGAAAGAAGAAGAGGGTGCGTGGCCCGAGAAGGAGGCAAACGTGTCAAATCATCTCCCTTTTTATTTATGTTCTGTCACTGGTCACAAAAACAGCCCTGATGCCTTTGCCCCTAAATCTATCATCGCAGGCATCATTGATGGAACACATGCTATCAGAAGTCCCATTCCAGTCTCTATTGACTGGACTCGGGGTCAGCCTTGTGTGTACCAGGAATCCCGTGGGATGCCATGAGCCCGTCTACAATTTAGACCCAGCACCTGGACCCTTACCATCCCTTATTGATTAACCGTCCTCACAACCTGTCTTTTAACTAAAAAGTATGAAAATGAATAGCGGTAAAGTGGATGCCCTGGGTGGTGGTGATTTGGGTTTTTTGTTGGTTTGGATGGGGGGTTGGGAGTGTTTTTGTTGATGTTGCTTTTAGAAAGCAGTATGAACTGCCTAAAACTTCCAATATATCAACCACAGTGACTGGTGACAAAAACTTACCCTGCTATAAATTTTTATAGCAAAAACACTCTAAAATCGTAAGACTCCAAAGCCTGACTGCCGCCACTACTCAGTGTGGGTTGCCCCTGATAAGGCCCCTGACTGGGTCTCAGCTTTTTCTTGTCCCGCCCATTCCAAGAAAATTCTTAACTAGTCAACTAGCTTAACACTCAAAAATGTTCCTTTGTAATTAATTTAAATACTTCTCGTACCTCGCAAGACTCCAAGCATTTAATGGTCACTTTCTCGGGATTTTTACGTGGCCCTTAACGTCACATGTGTGACAGTGTCCTAAATCCTCCCTCGGTTATCTCTTTTTCTCCGTGGCCATGAGCAAGTTCGTGGGTGCTTATCCTGACCCCTTATCCAGAGCAAAACTCAAAGGCATATTTCAAGAAATTCAAACTGCAGAGACCTCCGAGGCCCATGGAGGTGGCCCTGGAGACGTGTCCATGTGGTTTTGTACATTTATAAAAGTTTAAAACATAAGATATTTTTGTCTCAAGACATATGTTGTGGAGTAAATGTGTAGGAGCCCCCAAAATTCAGAGGCTGGAAACCTAAACTCCAGTATGAGGTGCTATCGGGGATAAGGCCTTTGGAAGGGTCATAAATCATGAAGGCACTCCTAATGAGTGGGATTAGGAAAAATGCTGGGACAGAGACCCTGGAGGCTCTTACCCTTTATATCATACCAGAATAAAGAAAACAGTTTGCATCCTGAAGAGAGGACCTCCTGAGCCCAACATGCTAACACCCTGAGCTTGAACTTCCTACCTTTAGAACCACGAACAAGGAATTTGTTGCATATAATCCACCAGCCTATGCAGCCTGTACTGATTCCAGATTTGTCTCTTCTCATCCTGACTTCTCCTTCATCATAATTCTCCTCGTGTCTGGCAGAACTGGAAGAGTTTGAAAGCATTTGAGGGCTCTGACCGCGGGGAAGTCACGTTCCTTCAGTTTAGTAACTGGATGTGGTCCCTGACGAATCCTACACCTTCATTCTTTACATCTCAAAGAAACTGCATACACTTTCCAAATTTGAAAAAAAAAAAACTAAATAAAAAATGCATATGACATCCCCAGGAGTGGTTTTTGCACTGGAAAGAAACACTGAAACCAAAAATAGGGGGGGAAATTGGTCATATGAAAAGGAAACCCAGGAGTATAAACCAAAAGTATAATGAAAAAAAGGATCACAGAGGCCTATTAGGAATTAAATAAGTTTAAAATATTGTGAGGTCCTTAAATGTGATTTGAGAACCGTTTTAAATTCTAAATAAAATACTTTTGACCCTCCTCCTGTATTCACGATACCTTTTCTCTTGAAGATTACTCTGAATCGTGAATTGTCCAGTTCCCACATAGCTGTTCCCAATTTCGCCTGTGTCTGTAGCCTGATCCTAGCACTCCAAGTGGAAACTTCAAATTAAAGAAATTAATAATTTAATAATATGGCCTTAGAGCATCCATTTCTGCAGCAGTTCGTCTATCAGCTATAAGAAGAAAGTAAAGAAATAGTTGTAACTAGGGAATCAGGGGACCCAAAAATATCCATTTAAATGCCTGCATACATTTGTATCATGAACACATGCTCGTGCCTGCAGATTGTATGCAGGCATGCAGGTTGTCTCATGGCACCGTGTGAAAATCGGAGGACAGCGCTGGTTCATTGTTGTTGTTTAAAAGATTTGTGTGTATGTCTGTGTGCCTTTGTGAGTTTGCATGCACCATGATCTTGCAGGTGCCATGAGGACAGAGGACAGCAGATCCCCTGAGTTACAGGTGGCTGTGAGCTTCTTGATGTGGGTCCTGGATCCTGAACCCAGGTCCTCTGCAAGAGCTGTAATCACTCTTAACCACTGATCCATCTTTCCATCCCAACATATTGATAGTAGGTTTGGTGTGTGTGTGTACGTGTGTGTGTGTGTGTGTGTGTGTGTGTACGTGTGTATATGTGTGTATGTGTATTCTCTCTCACACACACACATACACTCGCTTGTGTGTGTGTGTGTGTGTGTGTGTGTGTACCTGTGTGTTTGCTACTTTTTGAGAGAGGGTCTCACTTTATAGGCTTGGCTAGCCTGGAACTAACAACATAAACCAGGCCGGTCTCAAACTCCCAGAGGTCTGTTGGTGCTGCCTCCTGAGTGCCAACCTGCCCAGCCAACCTCTGGTTTCTCTACTTTCTTTCTATCTTGTTTGAGACGAGGTCTGGCCTCCCTATACGTGAGGTAGGTGGCCCTGGATCTTCTGGGGATTCTCCTCTCTCTGTCTCCCATTTCTCAGTAGATCCAGAGGGACTAGAGATGCTTCTGCGTTTGTCCCGGCAGCTACGATTAACTTACCGGGCCACGATTCACAGATGCCTGAACAAGGCTGTAGGTGTGAGTGGTCTTGCTCCTACACTACAGCCTCAGGCCACAATAACTTTCTGTTAGTCACTTAGTTAGGATTTTGAAACATGGTCTTACTTATCTCTCGCCAATCAAACTGGAACGTGTATTGATCCCCTACCTCTGCCTCCTGAGTGCTAAGATTACACCTATGTACCACCACACCCACTGATGCTATTTTAAAAGTAATTTTCCTTATCTGAAGACTGTTTTGTTTTCAATGTGTTATTTCTATAAGCTTCATTCATTCATTTTATTCAAACAAGTTAAGTGTTTCAGAGACCACCTCAAAGACATGAGTGTGGTGTTGTAACACAAATTGCTGAATGGTTTTATTAATAATAATTTAAAAAAAATTGGAGCCATATATTGGGTGAAAGCTGAAAGATCAGAGAAACAGAGCAAGCCAGCCAACCTTACCTCACCAGCTCCTCAGTCGATTC